TGTGGTAGCAGAAAGAACAATGGTCTAATATACCCCACATAACATATCCCTGACCAGTTTGGGGGTAGCCTGCGGTAAGCATTTTGGCCACAAATCCAGTAATGCCCCTTTAGAGCCCAGGTCCCATTAACGAAGGGACCTTTCTAATTTTCATCATCAACTGCTGGGTCAAAATACAGTTTGCTTCCAGGGCCTAGTGGTCCACCAACAATAGTTGCCTTGCCATAAGAATCACAATATTTACATTTCCAAGCTCCTACATGAGGTTTCCACTTGCAATCACATCCTAGATCTGTTTTATTAGATCTGGACTTAGAACTTACTGAAAAGGGTTCGAGTTCTATTCCGGTGTTGCCATTTCCACTGATAGTATCGGGCAACATGTGTCTTACTTGTGGAATTATCCCGGGGGCAGCTTAAAAATAAAGGGTCAAAAAACTTATCCTTCCCCACTGCTTTACAGACTTCAAAATCTTTTTGGTAATTATGGAAGGAACACCTTACCCAGCTACCATTACACAGCTTAACATGTGTTTGATTCCATCTGCCTCGATATCTGGAACAGTCATAAGGAGGGCAGTTGGGGGTCCAACAATCTAAACCAAAGTCCAGTCACAAACGCTCTTTCCCACATATGTGCTTCCTGTTCTGCTTAGGCAATATATGCCTCTTTCAGAAGAATGAAGCTGCCATGGACTTCCTTCTTTGTCCCAAAATCCGGTTCCATTATGGACTTCACTCAGGGTGCTAACTCACCATTTAGGCTTGACTGGGCTGGCCACCCATGGCCAGCTTTCAGATCCTCCTGGCCCTCCGCAGACCCAGCAGTTCTTAAGGTTAAAGGTCTTTGCTACTTCTTCTCCTAAGGTTAAAAAATGATTTTCCCACTTTAGACCCCAACTTAACTGAAAATATAAAGGTAAAATTATTAAGAGAAACATTCTAATAGTGTTATAATCTGATTTCTAATTTTCAATTTCACGTTGTCTTCTACACCACCTGTGGCAAGTGAAGGCACAGAAACAGCTTAGCATAAAGAAAGCAATGACAGCATGGATTGGCTCCCAGTGACTGGAGATTTGAGAGTAGGGATGCCCATACAGACTATTTCAGCAGGCAGTCTGTGGGTAGGCACTCGGGCCATCCCCCAGTGTCGATGCACAGCTACTGCTCCAGTCCACTCCTGCGGAGCGTCAGTCACGGTGTGATAAATGAACTTATAAAAATTCGTA